TAATAAGCAACAACAATACTAAATGATATCATTTGTCATTTATGTCATAACGTCATTTAATGTCATTATGTCACATGTCACAAATGACATGATGTCATTCAATATAGTCAATTATTAATCATTTTCCTGCTAAAAAGCGTCCATTTGGCCAGCACATCACTACTGACCACGCACCATGTTCGCAAAAAACTTTCGACCCACCCGAATCCGAACCCGCACCCACTCCCAACCAGCCAGCCATCTAGCCATGAATGGAGCCACTAACCGACTGCGCCAACCCGCTAGCGCAGTCGGTTAGCGGCTCCATTCACAACTAGACACTCACCTCGCCTACCTCCCAGGTTCAGTTCCGCCTCAAGCAAAACGAACAAAACAACAAAAATACCAACTACAACACCACAAATAATTAAAAAAACAATAAAAACAACAAATAACACTAAAATAACTCTAAAAAACAACCAAACCACCCACCACTCGCTATTTTCGAGTCCAACGTCAATATATTATCCACCAGAGTGTCCACCATCTGCGTCGACGCCAACAGCAGCGTTTTATCGCCGCCTTTCAGCAGATTATTCAACAACTGCTCGAAAAACTCCAACGAATTATCTCGCATACACATTTGCACCATTTCGGTCATTTGAACCACCTGAATTTACCAAATCAATAATCAATTGCAAACAACAACGAAAATAATAACAAAAATTAAAAAAACAATCATAAATGACAATAATATGACAATATGACACACAACATAAAGGACAATAGTGTGACAATATATGACAATATGACACACGATATAATATGACAATAATATGACATAAATGACAACAATATGACAATAATACTAACAAAAAATACTAACCAAAAGTGACAAATAAACCAAAAACCCGACCTTCTTAATAAGCAGCGCACACTCGACCCTATCCTTCACGGGCTGAAACCATAGGAATTGAAACGTTTCGAGAGTGAGTTTCTTGACGCCCTCCTCGTCGCACACCCTCCTCACGATCCTCGACAACATCTCGGGAATCTTGCCGAACTCGGGTTGTCTCTCGCAGATCTCCCGCATTATTCTTATCACCCGCTTTCGAACCGCTACACCCAAATCCTTCAATCATCATCATTACTGCGATTAATTACCTGGATTAGTAATTAATTAATTACCTGGATTGCTAATTAATTACACTGCTACCTGGACTAATATCGCAATTAACAATAAATATTAATCGCCCTACAAATACACTAATACCACAAATACTCATCATAATATCCACTTAAAGAAGCACAGGTCGCAATTGGCCAAATAAGGCCCGCCCACTCACCCACATAAACAGGTCGTAGTCGGCCAAATAAAGACTGCCCGCCCACTCACAAACAGGTCGGAAATGGCCAAATAAGACCCACTCACTCACAAACACAATGACAAAACCATGACAAAATGACAAAATAATGTCAAAACAATCAAAACAACTACAAAATAACAAAACTAATTACAACTAATTAACTAATTAATAATAAACAATACCCACCTTAACCCTCTCTATCAATATATCATAATACTGCGGCAATACATCCGGTCTCGCGATCACGTACTTGCCCACCAGC